CAGTACAGTGTGTGAACGTGCTATAATTGATTTGCATGGAACAAGATTCATATCATTTGCTTGTTTTGGATCATTTATGCCTTCATTCTCATTATTCTGAGTGCACATGTGCGAATTGTGCTTCATTTAGTTTCTGTTGAACTCTCCTAGAAGACTCAGTTTACAGTTGCAGCAGTTTTTTGATTGTACGAATATAATAATTGAACTTAATAATCTTCTATATCAACTATATCTAGTTGACTGAAGCTTTAGATGTGGTAACATGGATGCATTTGCTGTTGCATTTTACTTAACTCATCAGCAGACTAGTGCAATGAAAGTTATCAGTACAATAGTTATAAATACCTTTTGAAACATGAAACATTATTTTTGAGTCTTTATGAAGGCATGTTGCTTCTGCGTACGGACTGATTAACTCGGACACATTTTATGTGCTTGTGAATGTAATAGCATTATACAGTCATGCAAGTAAATGCTTCACTGCCATGGATATCCTTTGGTATCACATTAACCTTTCACCATTGTTGAGACAGAGACTAGCAAAATGGCACAGAGTTCATTTGCTTCTCCACACTGTTGTAAGATGTTCCCTGACTGAAGTGCCTGTGAAAGGACAAACTCGTCTCTCACAGCTGCTGTCCTCTGCACTGATAAAGACCTCAATTTCCCATCACAGAGCAATAAAAAGAGACGACAACACTGACAGACATGTACAAGCATGCACAAGCCAGCAGTGATGAGCTCTGCCTGTATGTCTGATTGCCTGTCTTCTCTTTGTCTGCCTCTGTGTCCGTTTCTTTTACTAAAAGCCCACTAGCAAGTGTTTGATGGACAGGATGGTATGTAGTTTAACTGAACAAGGAGCACATTTCATGGTACAGTAAAACATTACTAAACTAAACAACTAAATCACATTTGTAAACTGGACCGATCTTCATAGGATGATAATTTCATATATAATGTCTCTTGTCTCTGACGGTTGGTACAGTGAATGGGGATGAGTCAGTGAAATTAAATTGGATCAAACCCAAACTTGATTGAGTCTCCCCCATGTGGACAGCTCCACTGATGATCACATTATTAGATGGGGGAGTTCCACTCTTTCAGCTTTTAGCGGACAAGTTGCTCAGCTACTTTTTATCTGTCCCAGCTGGTGTTACCGAAAATGACCTGGCAGGTAAACTATAGCCGTTACTTTACACATTACGCATTATCAGTGGGAGAAAAACCACACTAAACAGCACAGCGAGCCATTAACACAAGCAAGAATGCACATGTAGTCCTGCAAAAAAAGAAGGGACAAAGAAGCTTGAGTTGCCGTTTAACAGATATCTAAGAGAAAGAGTTTGGAAGGAAGGGAAAGAGACGGAGGGATAGTCTGACGAAGAGAGAAATAGAATTAAACACTATTACTTTCCCTCGCCTCCGTCTTCATCTATCCACTCATCTATCTTCATCTAAATGCAAGACAGCAAATAGATGAAGTGTGAAAACGGACAAAAGAAAAAGAACCAAGTGAAAGAAACTGATGCAAAATTATTAAGAGAGGAAGAAATGTGGTCAAAGAAAGACCATGCTATTAGACTGAATGTTTTAAATCTTTCCTAAGTTGTGTCAGTATCACACTGCTGAGCAGTTTATCGGGGAGGACAGAGCACAAGCATGCTCATGCAAACACACACAACTCATTGTTTACCTGAGAAGACATGATGCTCACACAGTGTAAGTGAGTTGTAGCCCTGGAAAAATTGCTCTGGGACTCTGTGTGTGTGTGTGTGTGTGTGTGTGTGTGTGTGTGTGTGTGTGTGTGTGTGGCTTCCATAGAGAGAGGGAGAGAACTGCCTTCCACACTGTCTCCCCTCATATTCTTCCAGTCAGTATGTGACAGTGTGCAATAAAACCAAACATCGGTTACCTCATGCCACAGTTCACAGCCATGGGGCGGAATAAGACAAATCCCACAACGAATATATATATATATATACACTCACCACACTGCGCACATCTACTGCTGAATATTTAATGAACATAATCCGGGCCTGTATTTTATTATGCATCTTATAATCACTAGTAGGAGAGTGACACCTACACCGACTTTCATAGGCAAAATTATAATTGGAGAAAATGGTACCACTTTTGTATGTGTATAGGCAAAGTTATCTAGGTTATATATGCATACATTCAAATTCTTGAATTTAACTTTTATCATTGTTCATTATTATTATTATAGTGTTTATACTGCTAATAATAGTGTTGTAATGTATTGTTGTTTGTGTAATGGCATGATTAGTATGACTGCAAACCTCTTCACAGCACTGTATGTCGTGTTTTCTCATAGTGTCTGACAGAACCCATGCACAAATACCGACCAATAGTGAGTCTTTATAAAAGCGCTGCATGTCAGAAATAGAAGTCATGGTTGCTCTGTAGTAAAAGTAACATAAATGAGTGTATAGTTCAGTGGTAGCAGTAATTCACTAGCTAAACCTGTTGTAAGTGTGAAAATTAAAGATTTTTTTAAAAAGCGACTCATTAGCTGTTTGCGGTAAACATTTTCATAGTAACAACAATCAGAGACGTCGCTTTTATACTTTGGATTAGGATTGTGGGTACTGTTGTACTTGAGAGAAAAAAGTTGATATCATACGGACTTGTGGCTTCAACGGCAGAATATACGATCGTTTCACAATCTCATAGCTCCTGGTATATCTAGCTTAAAGGGGTTATGGCTATAATCAAAATCTTCGATTCTGAATATAAATAGGATTTTTACTTTCTGAACCGCACTGCTGAGGTCTCTATGCTCAGTGATCAATGAACATCTCTCCTCCCGTGTGCGCTCATGTCTCTGCCTGAAAACTACAAATTGGGATAACCAGCTTTTACTCATAACCATAAAAGTAGCGCCAAGTATGCGTCACTCTGAGAATATGTGTCCTGTTAAGATTGATTTCTGACTTTAAGATGATTGATAAATACAGACCATAAATACAGACCCTTGCTCAACTCATGAGCAAGGGTCATGAGTTGAGCAACTCAGTCTCAACTCTGACAAAGACCCAGATGCTGACTTTATGGACTGACAGTGACAGCACAGACGGCAATTTTACTGTGATATAGCCACAGTTAATGATTCATAACCATAATTAAGCTATAAGACAGCCATTTGAATGGAAGATCATACAGAAAAAATGTAATAAGTCCAAAATCAGCTTCAAAAAAGTATTCATAATGCAGCTGCCAAGTTTTGGTTCACAGCTTTGGCAGAAAAGTTGTTTGAACTGGTTTAACTGCCAGGTATCAGCGGAATAACAGAGTGGGCAGAGCACTACACGTTCTTAGTGGATAGATTTACTACAGAAGAGAGTGCTGATGTGATATATTCAGCTTTGGAGATGATATTGAATCTTTTACAAAGTAACACACAGCAGCAGATCTCTGTTTAAAGAAAAGCTGACCCGTTCATAATCAATCTTACATACGTTATATTAGATGATACATAAGTGTTGTGTAATCATGGCCCATACTTTTATGTTACCTGCACAGTATCTTATGTATTATATTGTATTGCATGGATTTTTTGCTTTTAAATGTGATCAAAATGTTTCATAACACAGGACACACTGCACTGTACAAGCAAACATTGTTTAGGAGGCAGTCTGGAACACCTGTCCTGATGAAGACAAGAACATTGTCTCTTGTGATGTTTAGATTGCAGTCAGTACTGTAGTTTTGACTTTTATTTTGGTTATTTAATTTATATCCGTATCCAGCATCTGGAGGCTTTGATAGAATTTAGTTTCATTTCCACTGTTGCTGCTTCTGTTCTTAAGTTGAGATCTGTCAGGCTTAAGGCACTTAATATTGTAGCATTGCCACAGTGAGATTCTCAGCACCTGCTGAATCAGCTGGTATGGAAATAATGATGCCATCCTGAATGTATGAGCACTATGTTTATGTAGCATTATTGTTATATTTGAAATTTTTTGGGGGGTGGGGGGTCTTATTAAACTCTCATTACCTGTTTTTGTGGGGCAGCAGGAACAGGCTGTACACAAAATTGACACATTACTACATTTTAAGTTGATATGGCAAAGTTGTTAGTTAACAGTTGCCTATTTACTGTACACATCCAGCAGACAAGGAGCAGCATTAGCATTTGTTTGGAGTTGTTTCTCTGGCCACCTGATTGGTGCTGGACAGGTAGTGTAAAGTGGGTTTTTAGAGCTTTTTCAATGACAGGTTTAATGAGAACGTTGAGAGTGAACCAAAACAGTAAAGCTGTGGGCGGTAAAAAAAAAAACAATGAGCTGAAAGATGCTAAAATGCAACAAGCTGAGTGGAACTGTAGAACTGGCTGAATCTATAGGTTCATCAGGACAAGCAATACCTTTCACATACACATGTGACAGGTATTTTTTATTTCATAAAAATATTGATTGGAGTAACTTTAAACACTTAAAGTCTGTGGGTTTGTGAAATTAATGTGCAACGTGTAACATTTTAACGTCAATAAATCACTCCTTTTGAGACATTGAAGATGGTGTCATCACCATAAACACTGACACCATTTGTACTGTATTGTGTTGCACTGTATTTTGGCTGTGGCTCAGGTGGAGCTAATGTGTAAGGTGTGTTATGTGTAAAGCACTTTGGATTAAAGTGCTGTATAAATGCAGCCACTTATTTACCCTTTGTTTGAGATCTGCTGAGATTCTTTATGGCAAAAAGGGAGGCTGTCTGTAATGAGGCTGTTCATGAAAAGGGGCAATATATTTTTTATGTTCTTTGTCTCTGTCTGGCTAACTTGTCAGAATACATATGAGCTTTTACCAATCCTTACTTATTATTCTGTCTCACATATCAGGGTTTATGGGATGTGGAAATGTGGTTTGTCGAATTGTGCGGCAGCCAATGTTGAAGATGCACCTACGCTAATTTGTGCTGCAGGTTTAGTGGAAGCCTTCCATGTTTTTATATATATATATATATAGCCTCACCTGTCGGATGGCACACAGCAGCTTCCCATAGCAGAACACGATCACCAGGAACGGCACGATGAGGCAGAAGACAAACAGGCAGATGATGTAAGAGATGTTATTCGCCGTCTTGGCCGTCCAGTCAACAGAGCAGGTGGTCCCGGGACCCTCTGGGCCGTAGCTGCTCCAGCCAAAGAGTGGCGGCAGGGTCCAGATGAGGGAGTAGACCCAGGTCAGGGTGATGCCCAGGGAGATCTTGCAGTAGTTGGAGGAGTCAGCCTCGGTTGGCTCTATCATGGTGCTGTAGCGCTCATAGGAGAGGACAGCCAGGGAGATTAGGGACACGATGCCTACAGGGTACACAGGGCAGACACAAACATAGGTAACCATAACATGCAGTGTAGGAACATACCACGCTAACGGTTAACAGAATTAGTTAAATACAATACACATCAAACATAACCCTGTAGACGATATGTGCAGGTGCGTTCTTCCTTTTTGTACCCGGGCTGCTGTCCTTCCAGTTTAATGGGGCCATCGAAAAGACACAAAAATGCACTGCCCCTCCAAATGTTCATCTACTCTAGCGAGAAAAGCATGCACTGTCACTGTGATATAAAGCTTCACAGCTCTCTCTGAAATCAGAAGTGCAGCTAAAATGAGCTTTATGGTTTACAGCTTCAAAGAGAGGGCGGGGTTACAATTTTTAAAAATAATTGCCAAATCGAAAGTGCAATATAATAAAACTATAACAAACGTGGTTGGGGAATCATCAAATATTTCACTTCACATGACGGGGGGCCTGCAGCAGATACACACTGCTGTAAATCATAAACAGCCACACTACCTGTAGTGTCTCTCGCTTGACAGAAGCAATGCAGTGAAACACAGCATCGAAGATTTTGAGAAGCTTTCTTATCTTTCTGTAACCGCTCAAATGAAAACACACACTGTATCTCAAAATCTCAATGGCTTTGTTTCTCAGTATTTCAGACGCAGAGCAGCAGGAGCCTGGAGCTCAGTGTTCACGCTGACATCTCAGCCTTTTTATCCTGTTTGCTATTTGTTTTGAAGCCATTATGATCCAAGAGGCCATCCTTCATGCCTATTGATTTTCAATGGTAGTAAAGCTGACCTCAACCGGATGCTCCTATAAGAAGGCGGTCCATGCCTTTCACTGAGGTGTCAACACTGCGGCTACTCAGCACGACGAATGAATAAAGGTAAAAGTGAGGAGGGGGGGGGGAGTTGGAGCCAGTTGACCCAGATGGGAACACATTTTAGCTCTGTGATTGAAGATGATGATTTTGCAGAATGTTTTTGTGTCTGTCTGTGTGCACTTGCATTGTGCAAAATCATTGACCACATTGCATACCCTGACTTCAGAGTTTATTTGGCACAGCGTGTTATGCTTGTCTGTTGCCCGCAGATATTGCGTTCATGTTGCTTTTCCTGCATAGACTGCTTAGCTCTGGGCTTTTATTAGCCTGTTACTTCAATATTACAAAGTCAACACAGTTTTATAACAACCCACTTGTGTTTCTGTTTGATCTGTGCTCACTGACTCATAGCAACCAGACCCATACAGATTTTCCATATATTTTGACAAAAGATGCTTTCAACCCTGCTTGCCTATCACATCCAGCCTGTGATTTTTCTGCTGTTATTTAAAAAGAAAGCGTAGGAAAATTGTCTTCCCACAACAGGTGGACTGGCTGATCTTGTCTGTAAGATAAAATCTTTGCGATTTGTGTTTTTAGCCTTGTGTCATTAATAAACACTGAAATAGTGCAATAGCAACACTTGTTACTGTGAACCCCAACCTGATAGAAGTACCTCCAGTATGTTTTAAAGCAGGCAGTATAAAGCATGCAGAATTTATTTTGGATTTTTTACAGTTCAAACAATGGCCACAAACGCACTAATTTCTGATTGGCATGGAGGTATCCTTTAAATCACCAAACAGGACACCTCCAACACCGTCCTGGTCATTGCACCTAATATTCTGCATTCCTGCCACCCAATGTACGTACAAACTGATACATAGCTACACTACTGCGGTTGCTTGCTAACAGTTCAGCTACCTTTCACTAGTGAAATGGACCTAACCATTGGGTAAACTAAAAAGGGAGCAAGAGTGGCACATGACATACTGCTCCTAAAAAAAGGTCAGGGTGGAAAGATCAGTCACTAAAGCATATGAATTTGATGCAGGCAACTGCTGCTTGTTTCCTGTGTCCTACCAAGTAAGTAGTTCTTATTTTAACCATGACCAGTATTGTTTCCTAATCTTAACTAAGCAGAGCTTAACATTTAGTTTTAAAGTCTCATATAACTTGTCCTAAATATGCTCAGAATAATGGCATGTTTAAATGTGTACAATTTCAACTCAGCAAACTCAAGTTTTTTTTATAAAGGAACTATATTATTCCCTGAATTTAAACCTTAACCATAGTGATGGCAGATGATCAAAGGGTCATATAAATCTTAAACAAAAATCTTTTTGAATACAGCCTCATGTTTGCCTGTGAGAAATGGCCATAGTATATAGGTGTTTTTTGTCCAAATACCAACTCTGACACCTCAGCCCAGGGTACCTGCTGATAACAAGAACTGAACCAGTACCAGTGCTCTCTTTTAAAATCTGTATACCTCACTGCAGGGAAGTGATTGGGATCATTTATTGCGAGGTAACATTAGGCGAGGGATTGCACTTGCACTAAGAGTCTTCAGCCTGGCATGACTGTAAACGTAAAAACACTGAGGGCTCTATCTTGCACTCAGCGCAATTGACTTTGTACACTGGCGCTTGTATAGTTCCTATTTTGCACTCGACGCACATTAGAATTTTCCCTCCACAGGCGCACGTCCTTAAATTAGGGAATGAACTTGCGCTCCGGGGGGCGGTTCAGCGAAAAGAGGAGGCGCGTTCCGGCGCAAACGTTCCCTGGTGCTATTTTGCTGTTTCAGAAAACAATTCCGCCACAGACCAGGAAAAACCTAGTCTAAAGTCAGTGGCACTTATTCATATGCTATTTTAAGGGCGCAGACTCGAGGGGATGCGCCTGAGAGGCAGCAGCAACATCGCCACCCGGTCAAGACGGGCATTAATACTTTGCCGTATCCCGGACAGCTCCCGCTCCAGCATGTCAAACCCGGTTTGCTGCAGGAACGGGTGGTCCATCGGCGTGTAGTGGGTCTGGATCCTCTGCACCTTGGTGTTTGCGCTGCTCCCTCCTCAGCTGGCCCTTGCGCACTGCTCGGCCCGTGCGCACTGCTCCCGAGGCCAGGGTCTTCTTCCTGCGAAGCTGCGTTGCATCGTTTTGATTTATTGTATGGCTGTGTTACATTTATTTCATGTCAATAATGTCACTTCTTGGTATTTTACGGCCCTGACGAGAACGTCGGTCTCCTCGGCTGTGAAACGCTCCTGGCGTGCGCCTGGCCAATCCGCCGTTATAATAGCAATCCGCCTTGGAACAAGCGCGCCTGCTTTTAAAGGGAATGTGAGATGACGCTCTGATTGGTTTATTGCACGTTACGTCCAAACCACACCTATGACTAAGTAGCTACTTCAGACCAACCCATTTTAGATTTGCGCCGGGCGCAAGAGTCATTTATCCCGCCGGCATAGTAGCAACAGCGCCTGAGATCCGCCCAAAAAGCTACTTGCGTTTTGCGTTTGATACTTTCATTTCAGATCGGCAAGATAGGGCCCTGAATTTGAAAATGAAACTGACTTAGAAAACTGTATTTAATATGCATTGGTTAAGTCTGTCCAATACCTGAACTACTTAATAAGGTCAGTATTGCATCCACTGATCCAGTGTATTGGATCCCTAATGGTATGAGCAAGGTATTTCTCTTAGATTTCCTGATAAAATAACCGACAAGAAAAGGCAGAGGAAAAGAGTGCTACAACAATAAGACCTTAATTTCTGAAATGTCTCTCTGTGAAGCCTTCTATCCCAAAGCACTGGTTGGCAGCATGCAATATAGCACATCTTTGAGATGACAGACGGATAACATCTAGTATAAATGTCTCCATTGTCCATTAACCAGCTTTGATTGGGGATCCAAATTAAATCACACTTTCTCAAAATTGCAAAAGCTAATTAGCAGCTCTCGCCATGACTCAAATACAGAGCCATCAAAATGTAATACTTGCAGCCATCATGTTGCTGAACCAATTTACGGCTACCTTCTACCCCAGGGCTCTACAAAAGTATCGTGGTTGATTGTGATTCATGGGATTCTTCATTTAATACAAAAACTTGATTATATCAGCTGATCCTATCACATGTTCACCGTCTTTTTGAAAGCAGCTCTTTCTCTTGTTACATAGTGTATGAGTGGACATCTTCATTAGATGTAATGTACTGTCATAGTGAAAGACACCTTCACAACTTTGGATCTAACTCCACATCATCTGAAATCAAATTTCACCCTCTATCCATCTTCTAGCCCTCTGGCAGGATCAAAGGCAGCAGCTGAATCTGATATTCCAAAATGAAACATCTTATGATCTGATAATGTCTGAACTAAAACAAAGGAGCATCTTTGTTCTGCTGTCTCCCTCACTGCATCTGCCTAATTTGTCTGTTAGAAAGCATCTGGTTCAGTATCACTGTCTGATACCGTGTATCCAGGAACAGACAGTTAGAATGAAAAACACAGGATCAAATAAAGCTGTGTTTGCTCTGTAAATCCCATCCCAGCGTATTTTCCCTTAGTCGTCACAGGTGCACAGAACTACTGTGACACCATTGCCTGTTTAAAAAAAAAAAAAATTTTTTTTTAAATTCTTTCGTCAGATAGCAAATGGATGGCGCACATTAAGGATGATTTTATGGCAAGTCACTATGTACAAAGACAATTATTCACACTAATGTCCAAATCAAACCAGACACCTTTCACCCACAAGACATGTTTTTGCCTCTGCTATAAGAGTTCCTAATTCACTATTTATTAAACAAGCTCATTAGCTGGCTCACTCACTCTGACCTTTATGGCGAAGCGACATTGTTCTGGTTCCTTTCTCCCTGCTGAGACTTATTCTTACCATCGCAGCAAATTAACATCACTCATGTCAGGTGTTGGCTGTGCCTGCGTGATGCACATTTAAATGTATAGTGTCTCTCCTCTGTACATGTTTATCCATTTCTGTGCCGGTTCACGTGTGAGCATGTGCGCAGGAGTGGAATCTGACTTCAGTATGCAGGGAGTGGGCACTGCAGTGCAAGGTTAATGCGTGCCGAGTCCACTTGAGGCAGAAGGAGGCAGCCAGCAGTATGCAGGAACACGCAGACCTGGTGTCAAATTAAAGACAGAAAAAAGATCCTCTCTTGTTCCTCCACAGTATATTGGAAGACAATAAAAGTTCAGTGAGATAGAGAGGAAAATGCAAAGAGTTGGGCGGAAGAGGTGAAGCAGCTAAATAGGTGCCAAGGGGCTGAAAGTACAGGGTGAGTGTGTATTCACACACAAGCACACACACGCGCGTCTCCACAAATTGTCTTCAGTTTGTTCTCTTGGCTTAAAGTCAAAGCAGTGGGTCTTCAATTGTTCAGTCATTCAGAAATCTAAGACATTATAGGCCAAAAGCAAGTGAGCAAAAAGTAGAAATCGATGTGTAGAGGGAGCGGGAATACAATGTCCTAACACCAGGCTAACAATGTCTTTTGTCATTGACAGTGATGCCCTCTAATTTCAAGAAACATCAGTCATTCAGAAAAGCTTTATAGAGATTTGGTGAAGACAGACACAGTCACTTTGTCAAAGCTGCACCCAATATTATTCATCCAAACAATCAATTTCACTTTTCCGTTCTCTGACCCTCCCTCACTCTTTCTTTCACTCAGTTTTTATGAGCCCATTGAGGAATTACTCATCCATAACCAATGGAAGCTCTAATGATGTCTGCGAGCCATCTCTCTCTCTCACACACACACACTCTCTCTCTCTCTCTCTCTCTCTCTCTCTCTCTCTCTCTCGCGTGCGTGCGCGCGCGCGTCTTGCTCTGTTTTAGCCAAAGTCCTGTCAGACAGATTTTAATAATTGGCTCCTTGTGAATGTCAGTATTACACATCTTCAAATGGTGCTTAATCTCGGCATAACACCAGGGGTAGCGAGACAGTTGATACAATCAGAGTACATGCAGATACTGAGAAACATCGGAGGTTGGCTTTATTCTCCACGATATGACTGAAATGAAGTATTCCTGTTTTGGGAAGTGCCACTTCATCCCAAAGGAAGTGGAAGTAGTGCTGGAGTCTGTTTTCAATTTAAAAGTTTGACAGATTTGAGAGGCTCTTAAGCCATGGAAAATTTAATTTAAGTTACTGTAAATTAACTGTAGGGGAGAGTGGGGTAAGATGAGCCATTTTTCATATTTAGGATCACTACATCAAGGCAATCAGTTTTGTCACTAACTAATATATCTGCATATATTTCAAACAAACAGAATGAGTGTAAACATAAATGTTTCGATAATATAGCTTGTCCAAAAAAAGTGGTCTCTTGGCTCAACTTACCCCGTGTGTGGGTAAATTGAGCATAGGAGCGGGGTAAGTTGAGCCGTAGAGTGAAAAAGGATTTTTTTGGAAATAAATATCTTACCACTTTAACCATGTGGTTCTTACCTTCAAAGATGATGCCTTCCTCCTAAATATTTGGTCACATGATCAATGTTTTTTACCATTTCCTAGCAACAAGGGGTGGCTCAACTTACCCTTTGGCTCAACTTACCCCACTCTCCCCTACTGTGTGAACATATTAGCCAGGGAGGGAAAAACCAGCTGGACTTGCATGCTGCTTGATTTACACACATTACACTTAGTGAGTCAGATTGAAGTTTCTTTCTCTGCTGCACAGATACTTAACCCGGCCTACCAGCCACACGCCCTAGGGCCCAAGGAGTCACATACAAGACGTCACTGGCACAAAACTATCAGCAAGAGACACACAATGACTGTAAAGACCCACAAAACAATACAGATTCAAAATGACCATAAAGAGACTCAAAAAGAAAACAGATGCAAAATAGACTCCAAAGGTGCTAAATGACTACTAAGAGATACACAATGACTACAACAGAATGTGAAAAAGCACAAAGACACCCAAAACAACTACAAAGATTCTTGTCTCTTTTAGTCTGGGTGTCGTGCCCCTATTGGAGGGCTTGCTCAGGGCCCCATTGTCTCCCAAATTGCCCATGTCAGTGTATCCCATAAGTCACAGAGGTTGAAACAGCTTCTATCTTTGGTCTCAGACGCTTTATGTACTTTTTCCCCCAGTTGCTTAAAATCAGTTGGACACCTAAGCAGGTAGCTAAAAGCCCTGGCATTTGGCTTGTGTGTTACGGCCTGTAGGTAGTAACCAATAGCTGCTCCACTTTAAAAAAGGCTTTAGGAGATTAGATGCACTGAAGTGGGCGAGAGGGAATCTTTTGTGCAAGATTTATGAGCCCTTTATACAAACTTCATCAGACTAAAGCTACGGGCGTCCAGCTTGAAAGGTGCAGTCAGTGTGCAGCTGTAAAGGGAAGTGGAGGTCTCTATTTCTGAAAAGTCTTACATATTTCACTGAATGGTTTTTTTTGTAAGTTCTGAAAAGCCATTCACAAAGTTGACATATATTTATTCCAATGTCCAATTAACTTTTTTGAATTCATTTTCAATTTTCATTTGATTGACTTATGTGGGCTGTATTGCTGGGGAAAAAAGCGGCAAAAGTAATGAAAACATGATATATTATTGAAATGTGACTAAAGAAGTGACTGTTGTTGGTTTTAATGCTGTGAATATGATGGACTTCGGTCTATATGATGAGCATATAGACTGAAGTTTCTGACATTTGATCTCAACCTCAGTCATTCATGGTGTTTACCAGAACTCTGACTGCATTCATGGAAATTACAGTCTTTAGATGTTTCAAATGATGTGTATACCAACTGTATCTCTTCTCCTGTCTGTTTATGATTCTGAAATTCTGCAACAATTATTTTAAGAGGTAGGTTTAAAATCATAGACTGCCATATATTCTTTGAAATATGCACTTTGATTGGACAGCAGGAGAGCACGTTAATAATACACAGCAGTGCAAATGCTGTAACATTGTGTTGATGTCAAAGCTTGGAGAAATTGGTGTTTTCAGAACCCACATCTAACGCTGCATGGTCTTTAAAGGTTGTTTGGATGGCTCAGAAAGCTTTTAAAGCAATTAGCAGGACTGAAAATCTGTTGAATAAAGATCACATGTCAGGCCAATAACTCCTGATGATGGAAGAGCATTTTATTTGTAAAGCATTCCTTCTGCAAATTAGTTTTCTCTTGAGTTTAGCATCAAACACATTTCATCCAAATTACTCAAATACATACATTTCCGAAGTTTGGATTGATACAATCTTCAGGGGGGAAATGATACTGGGTTTATGTTTATGTTCAATACAAAACTCCTTATTTGCAACTTTTCTATAGCACCCCTGGCCGGTCCAAAAAAAACATTTAAAAAAAATACCCCACTAAGCTTTGTTTCTCTGGCTCAGCATCGCATCCTGGCCCGGTTCCAGATGAGTGAGTAACTGCCTTATTCTCACTTGCATCATTGTTCCCCATTTGCATCGGTATCAGCACTCCTGAGCAAGAGTAGACCAGCTTCCCCTTTCACATTACAGATTTCCCCCGGGTGACTTTATTCTGCAACAAATGCTGGTGATGCATCTGCCAAAGCCTGCTCCGTGGACTGAGACCGTGTCCCCACAGCCCACCGCAGACCTGCACGGGCAGCTAAATGAACAGTGATGAGGCTTCCCTCGCCTCGGGCACAGCCACTCAACTATACAGTAACAAGCATTTAACGGCCATTTGATAGCAGGCTGCACACTGCTTTATATACAATATATGCAGCACCCGAATCCCCAGTCGTGTGTGTGACAGCGCTTCAGAGTTCCTAATGACATTTAAACAAATGACCATCTGTGAGGGGAGCTTCCTGATATACCACTAGCGATTTTATGCCGTGGACATGCATGCATGTGCAGCTTTGGAAGTGATCGGAAGTGATTCAACAGTCTCTCATATAGCCACAGCTGGAGATAATGACCAAGTACCGCACCGTGAACTCATCACCTTGACCCGTGCATCTGCATATGCACCGTAAGCGACCGTGATAGTGGATGTGCGCCCTATCGTTCTATGATCCGCAACATCGGTCTGCCTGCCGGGCTGAAACTCTCTTCTGGGTTTCCGCAAACGATATAAGACAATCTGTACCTTTTACCAAGACCTGAACGAGCTCTCTCATGACAAACTGCAGGATGTCCACACCCAACATTAAGAAAAGAAAGAGAGAAAGCTTGAGAATGATATGAAATACATCTTTCATGTTGCAGAGGCATGTAAATACAATCAATTTGCTGAATAATAGCTTTGATGTCGAATTTGGCGCATTAGCAATGATCATTCTCCCATTAGTCAATTCACACGGGCTACGCGGTTTTTCAGGCTTTTCTCTTAAAGTTTGGTACCGGTATGGGCATAAAGACGCACGGCGCACACCGCAACGGGCGCATGAAGAAAGACTTACAGCATATTTTCTTAATTTTTTCAAAACCCTTAATTTCGACCCCAGACTAGAAGCTTAACATCATCCAATGTCACAAACGCAGTGCTGTGGGTAGGATCCACGCACACAGCATACCGTCACAACCACATCTCACATCCAAATATACAGCAGTCTACAGATGTAACAAAAAAACACTCAAACTAAATGCACATATGAACATCGCCTCTTTCTACTCACCAAACAGGGAGTTGGCGAAGCCGTACCACACGCATCCCCCTTTTCCTATGAGCCACCTTCCCTGCGTGCTGGCCGCGAAGCTGAACGGAGTCCCCAGTACGCACACCAGCAGGTCGCTGATGGAAATGTTAATCAGGAGCAGGTTGATGGGCGACCGCAGCATCTTGTAGCGGCAGAAGAGCACGAGCACAAGCAGGTTGTTCATAAGTCCGAAAGTGCCAATGAAGCCCAGGCACACTGCCACTACCAGGTTCCCTGTCGGTGTGAGGGTGGTCCGGTATGAGCCTCCCCTAAGGTGCCCTTCCCCGGCTCCGGCGCACAGAGCGCTGTTGACCCCCGCGCAGCCGCTCAGGCTCGCGTTGGACACGATCATCGCAGTCCAGTGACACGGCGGTGGCACACTGGGCAGCCGCGGCGCACCGAGCGGGAACTAAAGTGTCGCTGGCATTTTTTTTCCCCCTTTTCCTGTGTGTGGTAAACTAATACATAATAGACACGCGTGTCGCTCCTAATCAGCGACACCTGTTGCTGTAAAAGAATTGTCAAGTGGAAAAAGTAGAGTCAAACACAAATGTGGGAGAATGAAAAAGTTTGTTTTGCTGGGGATGTCAAAACTTTGTGTCTCAGTTCAGGGGGAAGAGGGGCGGGGGGAAGTTAGAAAATATATTTTTAAAAAAAGAAGAAAAGTTTGGATAGTCTTTGCTCCACCGTGTGGCAGTCTATAACGCACACTCGCGCTTTCCAGAGAGGCTCCTGTCCCTCATACAGGCGCCTTCCCTCTCTGTCCGTATTTAAATCACTGTGGCCCGCTCTCCGGCAGCTGACGTCTGGGCAGAGGAGGGGGTGGGAGGGAGATCGGGAGAATGGGGGGGGGCGGAGCAGGCTGGTGGTTAGGTGGGGAAGAGAGACCAATAAGACCATCATCATGTGGCTCAAACACAGTACTGCGCTAAAGTCGACGCTCTGTGCTCGATTCCAAACAAAAAAAAAAGCCTCTAGTTTGAGGAGCTGTCCCCCCTCTGGGTGCTGCGCTGACGTCCGCTGTCCGTGGTGCTGAACACGGTCTCTCAGCTGCAGCGCCACTGATCTAATGCTTATCATAGACTGTCCTGCATTTTAATTGCAGTTTTTGAAGTAAATAAGAGTGATTTAAGAGTACAACACTGAGAGCATTAATTCATTTGATTCGGCTCATAAATACAGCATTAACCCAGGACCATTTACTAGACAAATGCCAGCTAAGTCTAATTTATAAGATGCAGTAGGTGAGTTAATGATGCTCTCAGGTCAAACCAGAAATTAAGAGTTTTGAGTTACAGCCTCCACGACTGTCTTCGGTTTATTTTAAGATGAAGTATTTTATTCATTATTTGGCACAGAGGGGAGTTTTAAAGGTTATATAAATGAGATTTTCAACATTAATATAGCAGTGAACAGCTCTTTGCTAAGTAAAGATATGTTTGGAGTAATGGCACCATAAGCAGAAAATGAAGTGATGCTTTGCTAGTTCTGTCCCAAACATTGAATGTAAACCATCAAACTTCAGCTACCTAAAGTGTATTTCACTTGATGTTTTAGGTAGCTAGCTTTAGCAGGAGATCTAGCAATCCAATAATTACGTTTAGCGATTTAGCTCACTAAAGAAATAGCTGAATACTGTAAAAATCAGTGCTCCAATATAATATCCTAATATTTAGCAGAGGGAGGGGGGAGGTGTGGTCGATGTGTGTGTTTGAATTGGTCTGAGATTCTGGCGCTCTGGTGCTACAGATAGTGGTTTGGGTTCTTCTGAACTTTTATGTTAGGCACAAGGAATCCAGACATTGACTCATTGTCTGGATTTAGCCTCACACAATGGACTGCCATGTCAAAGATGAGATTTCGAGGTGACTCAATTTGGGGGTGTTTTAGACCAGAAGATAATGATGAGGTCACTTTGGAGCATTGTGCAACACAAAACAGAAGTAAATTCTGCATGGCTCTGGGCTGTCACAGATATCCACATGTTTGGATATTTGTCATGCGTTTCCCACAGAGAAAATCAATTTAAGTAGATTTTCCATTGTCCGATGGCTTTTTTTCTTTTCTGTTTTGGTTGATTCTATCTGTGAAATTTAATCATCATTTTCCATCTGTCAGCACTGAAAACATATACTCCAGAGATGGCAGTTTCAGAATGGAATAATGAGGAGCAGTGAAATGCTAAAACATGATGAGTGTCAGGCATCTACATCTCACAGTGGCCATATATTCTCCCACAGGCTGAGAGAAGCAGCAGCAGCAGCAGCAGCACACCCTGTGTTACTGAACCTTGGCTACCTTCTGAGTCCAACAGGCATAATCTGGACCAACTACTAAAGTAAACTCTAATCTGTTATCTGCTTTACATGGCTGACAGAAAGTGCTACCAAATGTAGGGGAGAGAACAGCATGTCCTAATTTTAATTAGGTAGTCTCAAATTAAGAATATCGTGTTCAGTTTTAAAGTAAAGTGACAGTAAGCAGATACAAAGGTGCTCTAATGACTTCCTAAGAGAACAGTTTGCGTCTGGCAGCAGGTAAACATAGAAGTTCAACTTTCTCTATGTGTGTGTGTGTGTGTGTGTGTGTGTGTGTCTGTGTGTCTGTGTCTGCTGCTGCTATACTTGTATAATACAACACAGACACCCATAATATGATGCACCAAAAAAGTCAAGTACGGGTTCAAAATGTCAGCAATTAGCTGGTAATTAACAGCAAATTCTTGTGGTCAACCGCTGGCATTTGGTGTTAAAACAGTGTTCTTAATTACTGCAACACTCGTCTTTGCACGCTGATGGAAAGTTACAGAATCAGATGGGGAAACGTGCTCTACCCCTTCATGGTCTGTTCTAATCCGTACCCACCAAATAACCCCCTGTCACACTGGAGCAAGGTAACCGCCCGTGAAAACTGTACAGTGACATTTACTCTAATATCTTCCACATGTACAGTTCTACCTGTAATTGGGTTGAATTAAGACACTTGGGTTCTATTGTGAATACCACCCCCATTTAATCATCTCAGTGGGACTGGGCAGTTGATATTTAGTTGGATTTCTGGGTCAGCTTGGTGGCTGAACCCTGGGGAGATGTTCAGGAAGATAAAGTACAAATGGGGTGAGAGGGTCAACAGAATGCGATTTTATGGTTATTATCCCATGTATTTAATGTGCTGTGGACTATTGTTATCATATTAACTCAGTTTTCTTTTTGATATTGTCCAGAAGAGCTGCACTATGTGTCAACTTCAATCTGAGATGGATGAAGTGTAACATTTATTGATAACCAGTATGATTATTTCTATTTTGTTCCCCTGCTTGTCTAAAGCACCTGATGTAAGTCTCTTCCAATAGACTTGATTCTTTCTGAACTAAACTACCACATGTCTTGCCTCCATGTGCACAGAGAACTCCCAGTCAGTTGTCATTAAAGTCCATTATGTCTCTGCATGTATTACCTTGTTGATTGTGATTATATAGTCTCCGGTGCTTTCCTGCAGCCAAATCTGCAATTACAGATCAAGATTCAAACCTTAAATTAAGTTAGAGGACAGCCACAGATTCAGCCTCCAATTAAAATTTTATTAAGCTCCCCAAAAGACCAAGGGCAATGCAGGTCATTGTTTCTCTGCTGGAGAGATCACAAATTATCCTGTTCCTCCAAACTTTGCCTTGTCTCAGTGACTCACAGATTTGTTGTCACAGCAGTACTGTGAGGCATGTTTTTATCCTTCTGTGCCATTTATCACCTCTGTGAGACTTTGTGTCAGTATGCTTACAGTGACAATGCTAACATAGCGAGATTGTCATTAGCAGATATACTGTTTGTCATGTTCACTATCTGAGGTCTTGATTCCACCGGGCACGCTGCGTCTACAACTCTGTTTTGGTCTGTGCCCCAACATGAGAGCTTCTGAAGCAAACTTTGTTAACTTTCTGGTTTACTTTTAGTTTCAACAACGCAAGATCTGTTTGTTAACTGACTAAACCTTCATTGCACAACATGAGCCGTGAAACAGCTACAATCTAGAGTTAAATAATTAAATCCCAGAAAATGAGCAAAACATGTTTGTTGTCAAAACTAAGAGCCAATCAGCTCTTTGATCAGGCGTTTTCCATCCTGCCCTGCGTCTGGCAGTCGGAAGAGAGCAACGACTGCGTCTGGCTCGAGCTTGTGAGGCCATCGTTGCCCACGTGTGCATGACATCAGAGCAAGTTGTTAAGTTGGACACAAATCAAACTGCCCCCCATTGTGCGGTGATCGCTGGTGATTGATTCTGCGCAGGCCTGGCTAATCTCGAATGAGCCTATTATTTTGGTACAGAATGTCCAGTGCAAAAATAAAGAGGGGAAAAAACAAGCAAACAGGCACCATACCCCACTGCAACAATGCAGGCAAAATGTGAAAATATGTGCATGAATATGTATGATATGTAAAGTTCAGTTCCTCAGCATATCAATAAGTCCAACATGTAAAACGCACAATGATTGGGGTACCAGTACCAGTCCAGCACCTTTTGTGAACACGGTTAGCTATTCAGAAATATTGACGACAAGTTATGTTTGTTTTCTTGTTTTTAATGGTTATAAAGTTTTGTTGAAATGGACTCTTTGGTTTTATATCTTTGTATATTTCTATAAATCTTCTAGAATATCAGGCCTGGAATCATTGCGTTTGATTTGTTTATCCTGCCTCACAGAAAAGATTATGGAGGCCTTGGTGCTTTGTTTGTGTCGACATTATGCTGGCCCCAAAGGGTGCGCAACTCAAGGTAAAAGTGTCACCAGGTATCGCTGCCCTGCATTCAAATAATCCACAAGAAGAGTGTATACAATAGATCTTTGTATGCAAGTGGTCCAACCACTGCCATATTGTCAGAGACAGAAAACACGATGACATCTCACAGAGTCAAGGAGAGGAAACGAATGGAGAACAAAATGGGAGAGCGGTTGTAAGGAGAGAAACGAAAGGTCATGAGGCGTAAGGTGGTTTACTGCTGTGTCAAGAGTTTGATACAGCGGGTACACAAATGTTTTTGTTACAAAACATTTTTCTTTAAAAGTGCATTTTAAATCTCCACCACAGTTTGTTCTACCTTTCTACCTATCTTCTACTCTCACCCTCCAGCTCTCTGTCTCCCCCCAAACTCCTCCTCCATCACCACTGCCCTCCCCTCTGACATTGACCTTGTGAGAGTGGCCACTGCTGCTCTGCAACTTAATATGCCTGAGGCTTTAAGGAAAGCACAGATGAGGTGCAGTACCATGGATCATACAGATTTATCATCCACAGGTCTAATACATGAGTCCGCCACAGCCCACAGTTTATCTGGACACGTGTGTCACTTGAGTCCCATGCTTTAAATGCCTGACACACAGCCTGTCATGA